AAAACACTGACCCCATAGTTCTCCTTTAATGCACATTGTGCGTGAAGGAGAGTTCTGCTGCTTGGCTACCACAATATGGCACACAGTGGAATGTCGGCAGCACTCCATACATGTGTGTTTATGCACCTGCAGGTGGAGGGGGGGCGGTTTTATTTATTTTTTTCATTTTATTTATAATGTTTTTACTTTTTTCTCACTTTTTTACTTTTTTTATTTTCGCTTCATTGCTATCACACAGGCCCCTATGTGACAGCGTTTGGAGGTGACAGGTTCTCTTTATGCCCGGTGCATGGAACTTCATGTCTTGGGTGTCGGGCAATAGGAATCACACACCCCTGTACACTCACTTTACATAGGGGCAGATTGCCAAGAAAGGGCTTAAAGAGCACCAGTCATAGGAGAAATTCACAGGCTCTGACCTTCTGAAAATACAAGCTGCCTGGCTGTCATCAGTAGGATTTAGGTCACTGACCCAAAAGTATGCAAATTAGGAGTGACTTGCTGGTTGTGACCACTATCAGCATTTAATATCCATGCACAATGACGGTGTGCGGCAGCCGGTATGGTGGGGGAGGGGAGGCCTCTACAGCGTCATATTGCAGCCAGGGAGATCAGTGTTCCAACACTGCTAATCGCTGTATATGGCCCTGATTGGGCGGCTTCTCTACGCTGGAAATGAGCTCAAGTTACCATGGTGATGCACAGATTGCATGCTGACTTGGAGCTCCTCTTGGTTACAGCAAGACGAACAGACGGCCGCTGACTGCGCTAATTCCTTCCCAGTCACCTGACACGTGGAGCCTTACCTCCAATACAGATGTTCGAGCACAGCTCCAAAAGAGCGGGTGACCCCAAAAACCACAGCGGGAAGGCGGATGGACAAGCCGCCCAGATCAGTTGTACAAAACAAGCGGCGGCTCCCTCGCTGAAGCCGATTAATCGATTATTGAAGAAGTTGACAACTTTTTCAATAATCGATTATAATCGATTATGTCGATTAGTTGTTGCAGCCCTACTATACATTTATCCGTGCTTGCCCACAGCAGGGCTAAATATAGAAAAAACAACCGGCCCAGCGCCCAAAACTGCATGTCTTGGGCGTCGGGCAATAGAAATGAAAACGCAAAAATAAGCCAATAGGTGTCGTGCAGGTTTTGTGGCTTTTTCATGAATGAGTCGAAGGTGTTAGAGTAGGTCTTTAGGGTCAGCATTTTGGCAGCTATGTTCACTTGGTGAAAGCAGGCAAGATTTATCTGCTGAAGGGAGACCTTTATGGAGGTTTAACAGGTTGATGGAAGTTTCAGCATTTACGAAGCTTGAACCTTTTTACTGTTTTGTCTGTGAAGATTCTCATTTATCCAGATCATGTTATAACTAAGCAGATGTTTTGCTGCTAAGCAGGTTCTTCAGTTCTCTAGCTTTGATGCCTGGCTCCCATGTTGATCCAATGCGTTAGTACTTTAGGGGACTGAACAATGTGCCTTGATCAGCAGCAAAATATCTTCAGCATACATTTTGACATTTTATTTGTACGGTACAGAAATCTGTAAAACCTTTGCAATCATAAAAACATACATTATGCACTCTGTTCTAGCCGCATGTAGACATTGTCCCATCAGTCATCAGTTCCTTAGTTTGATGTTGAAGTCCAAACACTTTCCAACATACTTTTTTTTTCTGATGGGGTTAAGCTTATTTTCTATGCATTTCTCATTTAGTTCCTCTTTTTTTTTTTCTGATGGGGTTAAGCTTATTTTCTATGCATTTCGCATCTAGTTCCTCTGGAAATGTGGCAGAACATGCCACACATGTAATACAAAAATAGAAATAATTATTTTACTTTTCCTCACTTCTCAATAAATAGTTGAGGAACATTCATTAACTTACATATGTATATGGATCAGAACACCCCAGGTCCAGTGCCCCCACCTATTCCCAACAGGCCAGAGAGGATATTGCTGCTGGAGGATACCTTCCCAGTATCAAAGTTTTACAACAGCCTGATTCCCTTGCTCTCAGTAGGGAAAACTGTTCTAGATGTGGACTGTCTCTCCCCCACCTGGCAGAGTCTTCTACGACATCAGGGCTAATTCCTGCTGTTTTATATACCACCCACCCCATGTGCACCCACCGCGATAATCTACTGTGTGTGATGCCACTTTCAAGTGTGCATATGCCTCTGCTATAGCTCCACCATGCATCACAATTTGTGCATTTGCTGGAGTTCGCACATTGTGCCCAGGGATGCAACAGGTAGATGTCCATTGGGCATTAGCCATTCCTCAGAAGTTCAACACCTGGTGTGCCCGTAGCTCCCTTGTCAGTAGGCAAGGAGTTCAGTCCTTTTTGCCTATCAAGAGATGATCGGGCAGTGGAAGACTTCATGGCACCTCTTCACCCTTAGATCTACTGCTGACTCCAGTGTCGCCTATTATTGGGATTATTGTGTTTTATTTGGTAGGCAATGCAGGATGCCCATGCTTACTTTGGCTCTAACATTTGTATAGCTGCAACAATGAATGGCCAGCAATAGCCCTCTAGGAACACTCGCTTCCTTTTTATACAGTAATGATTATTTGCAAACTGAACCTGTACTACTTCACACCTTACTGGTGTGCCTGAAAAAGTTTAGCAATCAGGTGTAAATATGTGCTCAAAGTTTGAATTTAATGGGTAATATATGACCCTTTTCTGTGTCCAAATTTCCAAATGTCATTCATTTTGTAGAGTGTGTGGTTAGATGATCGGTTTCCTATGCCATTAGCTTTCTATATTCCTTGATTAAATATTAAAGTGACATTAAACCCTCAGATTTTTTAACATAAAACAATACTGTAATGTGTGCCTTACTGTAATCCATCATAGTTTCCCTTCTCTTTGCTGCTCTTCCTTTGAAATCTGTATCTGTTCTCATGCTCTGCAGGACTTCTGTTTTGCAGCAGACTGCCTTGTCTGAGGAATAGATACATGGTGTCTGTGTATAGGCTTGTATAGGATGTAACCTGAGGCAACACTACAGGAAGAGGCCCTGAGCTGAAAAGGGAAGTTCTCACCAAGCATTAGAAGACATGAGGATTTAAAATGAAAAGCAGCAAAGAGAAGGGAAACAACCATGGATTACAGTAAGGCACACATTACAGTATTGGTTTGTGTTAAAAAATCTGAGGGTTTAATGTCACTTTAAAGCATTGTAATTATCAGCTTGTTAAAGTGACATGAAACCCTCAGATTTTCTAACATAAAACAATACTGTAATGTGTGCCTTACTGTAATCCATGGTTGTTTCCCTTCTCTTTGCTGCTCTTCCTTTTAAATCCTTCTCTCTTCTCATGCTGGGAAGAACTTCTTCTGTTTTGCAGCAGACTGCCTTGTCTCTGGAATGGATACATGGTGTCTGTGTGTAGGTTTGTAACCTGAGCCAGCACTACAGGAAGAGGCCCTGAGCTGCAAAGGGAAGGTCTCCCCAAGCATGAGAAGACATGAGGATTTAAAAGGAAGAGCAGCAAAGAGAAGGGAAACTACCATGGATTACAGTAAGGCGCACATTACAGTATTGGTTTATGTTAAAAAATCTGAGGGTTTAATGTCACTTTAATGTAACTTCTCATGCTGTGTTGTTTTGCATTACCTTTTATTTTATTATTGTGATGACAACCTAATAACATCTTATCTCACCTTCTCCTTTTGCCTTAGATTGCAGATAAGAAAGTGTCAAGAAACCATGCAATACTGGAGGTGGTGGATGGCAAGCTCCGCATTAAACCGGTAATTACTGATGTAATCTAGCATTATTGGCAGTATAAAATAAAAGAAATATTTTGTGCCCATGTGAATCACATTTTATCACAGCGATTATGTTGTGCTTTTACACTGGGGAAATACAATACGGTGTAGTAGCAGCTTCACATTACACTTTACTTATTTTGTTTGTAGGTAGGTGGGTTATTTATCATTACAATAGATTGTTGTTGGTATATGTCTGCCCTGGTAGTGCAGAGAGAGAGTGGGAGTATAATGGGGGGACTATTAGAACTGAGATGTGTGGGTAGGTATAATTCACTAATGTCGTTAACTCTTCATTCTCCACCCAGGACTTAATTATGCTTGAAGGAACCCAGCTTTCAGCTCTTTAATTTATTTATTTTTGCACACATATATAAATGCACATTTTAGGCCTGAGAATTACTTATAAGCCCCAAGGATGATATATTTCCTGAAAGTGGAGACCCTGTAGAATAAAATGGTGGCAGTTGCAATCTTTTATGTTGCATAATATTAGCGTAACTGTTTATCAAACCCACAATTTCAGTAATATATACACTTAAGTTAATTTCAGTGCACAGACATAAAATATATTGCCCAGTTTTTTGGGAAAATATAAAAGAGGAGGTTACGTCGAGTAAATAGATACTCAACATGCCAAGCTTCAAAATTGTGTGCACCCCCGAAATGGTGAAAAACTATAGTACCACAAATTCTTTCTCTTGGCTAGGGAATTACAGCTCAGAAACCATATACCGAGATATAGCATACGTCAGCAGCAGCGAAAGGGTTAAAAGATAAGTACTTGATAACTTGATTATTCGTTTTTTGGTAGCACTGGTGTGGTTTGGTTACCTCCGAGTCTCATAAAGTCTTCAGATTCTGAATAAGTACATTGATACAGATTGTGAGGTGTGATAGTGGTTGTATAAAGTGGTGAGTGTTGGAAGGAGAGAGAAAAAAGTTTGGAATTGAAGGCATAGGCACTGTTAAGGTGCCCATACACTGCACAATTCTCGTACAAGAATCGTGGGAAATCCCGCGATCGTACGAAAATCGTGCAGTGTATGGAAGGCATGCGACCGTTTCTAATGTACGGTCGCACGACTTTTGTATATCGAGCATGTTGGAAAACCAGCCGGGAATCATACGATTTTCGGCTGGTTTTTAACATGATCGAGAGATCACTGCCGAACGGGCCGGTGTGCGCACGCCCGTTCAGCATTGCAGTCATCGGAAGCACGCCCCTCGGGGGCGGGCTTGCGATGATCGCAAGTACGATCTGCCTGTCCAAGATGGGCAGATCGTACGTTATTTTAAGTACTTCTTTTTTAAGTACAAAAGTCTTGCGAGGGTTGTAGAGTGTATGGGCACCTTTAGCTGTGCCTTTTATATCTGCCTAGAGTTACATTTTCAGATCCCAGCTGTATTGCCCACCATGACATACCATATTTTTCCGTCTATAAGATGCCCCCATGTATAGGACGCCCCCCACTTTTCTTACCCAAAATTCAGAAATCAATATTTTCCATGCTTTTTTGCATAACTGATTACATCCAGTTTAAATTTTGCAGAGTAAGACAGCCGCTTACTGGTACCGGTATTCACCAGTATTTTGTTTGTTTTCTGACATTTTTATGGGCTCCCTGTTGCATCTGGGCACTGGCTACACGGTCTCTGCAGCATCAGCTGACGTCGGGTACATAGCTTGTCTCTGGAATCGGAAGTTTCACTCGTGAGGCTAGTTTGCAGAGGTATCGGCAGTTTCGCAACCGCGGTTCTCCTCTCGGCCCACTGTGTATAAGACGCCCCTCAATTTTTAGGTCAATTTTTTAAAGAAAAAGTATAGTCTTATACACGTAAAAATACTGTATAACAGATTTCACTTGGATTTGTATAGCACAGTGATGTCACCTTCTTCTAGCCAGGAATATAAATAATACCCAAACTGATCCATGTTAGTGGTAGTAGGGGTTGAGGTCATCGTGGCAGAGCTGCCAAACAGTGCTGCTTTTGCTCCGTTGCAAAGTATAATATAACTCTTAAATCTGTTTTCTCTTAAAACATTCCTGTTATCTAGCAAATGACCCTATTTTTCTAGTATGCAATTGTTTTTTTGCCATAACAAACACTGTTATTTTCTTTTTCTCATTGGCCCAATTGCTGCCAAATAATGACTTTTAAAATGTAATAAGTTGAATAAATCATTTTCCTTGTAAAAAGATCCCACTATAGGACAATCGATATCCCAAATAGTTATTAAATAATTGTATTTTCTTGATTCATCAACCAGAGAAAATATACAAACATTCACAAATCTAAAATCTATCCCTTCTGTCCTAACCACGACTACATAATATCAAGTATCCAATATAGGTTATTATGACCCCAACTATGTATGACTGGAAACTATGTCAAAATGGATATCATTGTTCATGAATCTTGTACATAGGAAATTGCATTTTCTACACTACATTGAAATATCTACCAACCAAATGGAAATCCACTGATAAAATCATCAAACAAAAGGATGTTCAGACACATATGGAGAGGATAATATTGCTGGATTCAAGGACAAGTGTGTAGTATAGGTAATGCAACTTCCTATGTACAAGGTTCATGAACAGTGATATCCATTTTGACATAGTTACCAGTCATACATAGTTGCGGTCATAATAACCTATATTGGATACTTGATTTTACGTAGCCGTGGTTAGGACAGAAGGGATAGATTTTAGAATTTTAAATGTTTGTTTGTATATTTTTATATTTATATGGTTGATGAGTCAAGATAATACAATTATTAAAATTTTCTTTATGGGCATAATGCATTATATTTGAGATTTAATGAACATAGAGACCCATATAGGTTCACAAACTGTTTCATGTTTTATTTAGTTGTCCCCTTTCCCCACTATATATAGAATGATTGACATTTAAAAGGCTTTTCTGCTTTAGGCAGTTTTTCTCATCTTTTTTTTAAATAATTCCAGCCTTTTCTTTAATGGCCAGTGAGAGTTCTTGTATTTTGGACCTGTGCTGCAATTATTTAGCAAGACTCCAGTGGCTTGTGAAAGTTGACATTAGCTATCTTTGTAGTTGACAGCTTTGACTGTAGTAAAAGGCTATGCAATGCTGTTTAAACCTTAGGCCCATAGTCCTATTGTGTTTGTAATTCGGTCTGGAGAATTCTTATCAAAGATTTCAGTACAGAGTCTGGTACAATACACTGATATTTCTATACATGTTAAAGTGAAACTCCAGGCAAACTGTTAAATACATAGATGAAATACATAAATGTTTGCTGTTTTACCTACCTAAAACCCAACTCTACCCCCTATCATGTGTTGTGCTGGGTCATCTTCTTCAGATCTTCTCCCGATCGGTCCTCGGTGCAGACATTGGCGCTGACGTGATCACCTCATTACTGTGAATTCAGGGCGCCGTGTTGACACCCCCTTAGGTCGATGGGACTATGATGCCCTGCATTACAGCATGTCCTCGATTCATCATTCAACCTAGAACACTGAGGATATCACTGTGTGACATAAAGGCATTAATATAGGGGGGCTGCATCGGGAGGAGGTGAGTATGGCAGCCCAAGCTGCTAATTTTAAACACTGCCTGTAGGGCATTTAAAAAAAAAAAAATAGTGATGTGACTCTCACCCTTGGTCATCCCTATTACAACAATAGTAGCAGCCATTGCCCACTTAGTGTTATTATACAGAAAACTCCACAGACAGACTACTGGTTTTATTATTTGATTAATTGTGGATAACTTGTACATGTCACACAGTGTAACTACAGTCAGGGCTGGATTTACTCTCTCTCTGCTTCCCCAAGGCCAGGTTCCTCAATGCACCCCCCTACCTGCCAAAAAGCCCCCCCATAGAGAATGGCAGACCTGCAGGCTGCATACAAAACAAGGGGAGACTTCCCCACTGTACATTTAGCTCTGCTTGCCCAAAGCAGGACTAAATGTAGAAAACAACTACCTGCCCGGAACTGCATGTCCCGGGCATCGGGAGATAGGAATTCCACACCCCTGCTGCCCCGAGAACAGGCCTTGGTTGGCCTTGTGGGAAATCCGGCCCTGACTACAGTATCTGCTGATGTCTGTTTTCTTTCTTGACTTTGGATAAATTGATATTTCTGCAGCACATCAATAATTAAATATTAAATAGCTGAAGTTGGGCTTTATGGATTTTTGATTTTGGACAGCCATTCTTGCTTTGTGTACAGCTTTATTAGAATGCTTCCTAAGTCAGTTCCCTGCTAACTGGACAGAGGTCATGATGCTAACTGTCCAATGAGAAGGCCGAGGGCACAAAGTGACGTAGGCTGCTTAATGGATGAACCAGAAAGATTTAATTGTTTAACATAGTTCAACTGTGCATTAAGATAATTGTCTGGAGATTCAATTTAATAACATTAATATCAAGTTTCATCTTTAACAGCAAGACGGCAATTTATAGCGCAGTTCTATTCAGTACTCACAGCAGTTGATCAGCTTTTCTAAGTCTGCTGATTACTGCTTGGTTGCATGAGTTATCCTCCAGTTTTACCTTTGCTGTGGTGACCTCCATTTCATGGAGCATTTACCATCTTCTCATCTAGGATCTCATCTTAACTCTTGTATACAGCACCAAGATGTTGTATTGCTAGTGTTACGTTCTATGATTTGAACTTGTATATTATCAGGTTTTCTATCCACAGTTTATAAAGTGGCAAATGAGCTTCATCTGATTTGAAATGTAGATGTAATCTTCACGCTAATGAAGTTACTCGAGAAACCATGGTGTTTGTTTATGAATTTGATCTAGTGAGGCCCATTAGCTATCTTGATGCTTTTTCTCGTGGCTCATGGATAATTGTTTTTAAAGGCCAACTCCATTAAAAACCCTCAATGCAGATTTTTTTTCTTTGCTTATTTAAAAGAATTCTCTAATTTCCTTAGGGAACAAAAGATTATTTTTTTTTTTTTTACGCTCTTTTTGTCAA